GTCATCCCATTTTTAGTAAACGTCTTTAGAGTGACCTGGAAACAGAACGAATTTTGCTGTAGGACATCTTTATCTCTGGAAAGCAAATATTTCAAATGTGAAAGAAGGATACTGTCAAGGAACTTAGCCCTAAGTTCCTATTTTAATGAAGACGTAGGCGATAGAACCGATAAATACTATGTATTGCTTCAACTTTAAATCCAAAACGCCAGTATTCCTTGAACGAAATTATATTGTTTGGCAATTAAAGTGAAGACAACTACAAAGTCTACAAACGAATGTTAGGTAGAAATGAAGTTATAAAGTACTTTTATTCGTTTTTGTTCAAGTCTTCATTCAACTTGCAAGTGATTGAACCATTCGCGCCTTTGAATTACCCACCAATGGCTGCCACTTTCAATAAACAAACGTTCAATTTTCACGTCCATTGACAGATACAATAACCACTTTTATTACGCAGAATGAATCTGTGTCTGGGTTTGAGATCATAGCTTCTCTATATATTAAAATAAAGTCTAATTAGCCAAAATCATGGCAATTAGTGTGATTAGCCAAGAGGGACATAAGTTTAAGATGAGAGCATGCATGCGGGAAACTGAAGGTGTCCCTCATAAGAAAAGATACAAAAAATGAACCACATTATTTGTAGTTTAAGAATTCAACTGAGTTGTTAGTTGAACTGTAGTGTCACTTTCCATGACAGCCGATTCCTTGGGACCTGATGTGTACGCATTTGAGGTCTAAATGTTTTCGGTGTGTGCTTGTTTGAAGAATCACATTTCGTGAGAATTCCTTTGAACAATTTATACAATAAAGATGGAATTGTAAAGTCCTCCTCAGATGAAACAGAAGAATACTTTCAAAAACTGAAAACTTGTGTCATGCAGTCGAAAAATGAAGATAGCAAGGAGATGAGTGCCTTTCGTCCGGAGAACATGCTATTCCCGAAACTTTGCAAACAGCGGTTTTGAGACAGTGCCTTAGAGTGCACCTCGGTGTCACAGATATGAATTTCGTCTTCAGGTGCTAAGCATACTAGCAAAGCATGGATGCAGATATTACGGAATTTGAAGACGAAGTGGGGGGCAGCAGTTAGCATTTCCCCTTCAACTTGACGTAAGCAGAAAGAGATTCTAACCTTCAGAGTGATAAGATATCTCACTCCAATACCTTTATTATGAGCCCTCACAATGTGCGAATTAGCGATTCGATTCGGCAAATAATGCGACTCGAATTAGTGGTGAATAAATGTCATGCTTTGGACAATATTTGACTTGCTGTAAAGACATTCTTCTTTATATTACACAATCCGCTTATGTTTTCACTTTTTCATCATTTGGCTTCAGTCAGACTCGGTCTGACTCCATATGAACTGCAAATTTGCTTTACACTAGCCTGAATGCAACTCAATGTTCAGATGTGATAGTGAATGCAGATCAACTGACAGACGGATCACACATGTGACCTATTCTCTCACATCATAATAATGGTTATCATCGTAACACGGCGTCATATTCGAAAGGCCATGGCTATGAATTTTACAAAGAAGTTATAATCTTATGATGACTGTAAATGAGCCAAAGCGAACTTATGTAAACATGAATTTTTCAAATGGAAATTAAACGTAATGCGAATGGATTCTTATCGTAAAACGAAACTTGCGTTTCAATGTATTGGTATCCCTATTCCTGCTAAAATAATCCCCAGTATTGTTTTTTATGAATAATTTATTTGGGTTAATATCAGCCTACCTTGTACTGAATCTGATCGTGTTCTGTTGGAGATTATTAACCACTACAAAAATATTAGTAGGCGTAATGTGGTTCAGTTTTGGGAAACTTGCCAACCAACACGTGGCTGACGCATACATAAATCTCGTTTAACAGGAGAGTAAGACCAGAGAAGTGGATAGGCAGGGAACGAAGCTACTAACTTCAACCCTTATAAGAAATTCATCATTACTGTACGATAATCAAAGCTCAGGATTATAGCGTTGTGTTCTTCTCGGAACGCAAAAGAATACAATCCTAATTACTAATAAGTTTGGAACAGAAATATCAAGATTCATTCTGAATGACATTGACCTCAATGCATTTATGTGTATGTTAATTTCACTAACGCAGTATTCAAATGCCCGATTAATTTTTCTTCCAAATATATAGCACGAAAATGAGGTAACGACAATTGAAGTAGGGAAATGGGTAACTATCTAAGTAACTATCTCACAATAAGTAGCTCAAAACTCTGCATCGTCGCTCCGCTTATGCATACTCTTTAGGCGCCCCAAAGGAGAATGAGGAAATTTTCCAGATCACTCTTGCTTAACGGTAACATTTTTCAGGTATTTACACATCATGTTATGATTGGTATAAGCAGTGATTCTCAAGTTGTTTTGTTGTCATATTTCAAAATTAAACTCTATAGTTTCACAAGGATAAGAGAGTTGTTTCAGTCCAACAATCAGTGAAGTTATTCTCCAAGTCATAAAATGAATGACGTTATTTGCTTTAGTCAGTGTGTGAGTAACGGAAGGGTGATCTTAACTCGCTTCATCTAGGATATTTCAGTGAATATGAGGTTTGTGAGTGTTGTTGTATACCTGAATATGTTTTCACTTACCTAAGTTTTCTTTTCAGATTGTTTGTCAAGTTGACCATGCAACACACTGTATGGTGTTTGTCTGTTTGTGGAAATAAGATATCTAGCTATGAAGAAAAATGTTGTATGGTTTGTATTTTTTGAAGAGCACATTATTGCGTGTTGATGTGGTTGGCTGTGGGCTTTCTTAGTTTTCATTGTCATCCATCCATTCATTGGTGGAATCTGGGCTGTATAATTTGATTGGTTGCCTTTCTGAATTTTATGGAGAATAATGTTATGTCGGTAGCATAACTGTTAGGACGCTCGCCGACCATGCACAGAAATACAGATCCCCTACATCATCTGTGTAATTAAGTTGGACTTCAAAAGCTCCCTACTATTTCTTTTTACCGAAAGAAAGCTATTTTGGTGGCCTATTGGTCAGCCTGAATCGGTCGTTCAGAGTTGTTTCATCATCATGTACTTACTCTCTTCATGAGTTGTTGAAACCAACTTTATAATCAAGACAACACATATTATTACTAAAATAAACACTCAACACACCTCACTGTCCAGCTTAGTTTATTGAAAATGCTGATCGACTGAGATCCTTAGGTATTTTCTTAACATATTAGACGGTTATTTGAATGATACTTCCAAGGTATGGATTCAAAAATGCGCACACGTTTACCATGGAATCATCTTTACAAACTGACAGAGCGTTTGCTGTGCTAAGATTTAGAAATTGGTTTTTACATTTTGGTCGTTTCATCAGAAGACATTTTGAAATATGCATCATTTTAGCACACAAACATCTGAAAAATAATCAGAAATGGGTGCAGATTCTTCGGTGATAATTTCGTTTATATTTGTGCATTTATTTTTTATGAAGATTACGTTAATCATCAGTGTTCAAGAGAGGTAACCATATGTGAAATTAGAAGCAAACTTTGATATGATTGAGTGGATATTTAGGCACAATAATTATATGATGGGGAATGCTCAAAGAAAATAATTCGACAACCAATCCGGAAATAAGTGTTATTTAAACATCTTACAAAATCCAGCCTCACATAATGTTAGGCTGGAATAAATTTGTGCGAATAGGCTTATCATGTGACACCAAATGACGAAAGCAAGAATAAAACCCATGGAATTGGGCGTGAACCACCATACTATCCACGTTCGGATATTGACAAAAATAAACATCCCCTAAATTGTGAAGAAGCAAAACAAATTCAGAAACAAATGACTACTTTATATGGGCATAAATTTTACGAGAAAACTGGAATTTTATTGTGAGAAAATCTGTTGACTTTGATGATTGCAATGTCAGTAAAATAAGGTAAAGTCTACGCGCCTCAAATAATTTAAATTATTCAGAAACAGACTAACAGCGTCCATGTTATGCTTGATATGATCTCTTTTAGACGTACGTCAGCACTTAGCAGAAACTGTCGCTGAAATGCAGTGATGTTTTGAATAATTCATTTTTGTCGCATATTTCTGGAAATTTATACTTCTGATAAAAGCTTGTGCTTCGTTTTAACAAACGATTCCAGACTGCCTACTTACTGTGATCTTTTTCATTTATCTAATTTGGCACATGTTCACCAACAGAATTTCCAGAACATTATGTTTGCAACACTTGCTATATTAAAGGGACTCTGATTGATGGCCGATCAAAACAAACATACATACTCTGTTGCTGTTGTTGCAATAGTAAGATTTTGCGTGAGGTTTTCGCCTCATGTATATATGGGTGGAATATATCACTGTCTTAATGGTTGAGGAAACGCGTGTGTATGTTGAAATCGTTAGTCATCCCTAAGTTGTCAATTTTGTTGAATGGCTGAATTCTGAATGATGCCTCTTCGTCGCAATTAAACAGTTTCACATGGGATTATCAAACATGTATATTCTCCGTCAGATGTATGTTACATGTATATGTAATAGAAATCTTGTTGAAATTTACCATTCTGCGTGTTTTCCCACCATCTAAGAACAGTAGGAATCAGGAGAATTAAGAATCACCGTCAAATGAAATGGACAGTGATTTGCGGAAATTTTTTAATAACCAAAATCCAGTTTGCTCTTTCACCTACAGCATTCAGGAAAATCATAAAAAGGTATTAGGCTTAGTGATAATGTCTCACAGATTCTGATTCACAGATACCAACATTTATCTGACTGAGGGCTTAGCATCTTTTACTGCTTAATTCGACTATCAGTTGGCATTTTGTAACAAAGTGGAAATTTATTTAATATGAAAATATAACCACTGATTTACACTGCATACTGGTGATATCCCGCACTTGATGTGCTGTGAGCAATTTAACGGCAAAATTGAATTGTAGTGAATACACTGATTTAATGAAAAACTTACCAAGAGTATGAATAACGCAAATGGAACAGGTAGGAGTATGCAGAATATCGAACTCTAAGAAATGCAGAAACAAAGTGGCATATTCACAAAGAGAAACACAAGATTTGTTGCTGCATGTAAATTATTATAACAGCAAATATACCGAAGTAAACACTGGTGACATGTAAACATTGATAATAATTAAAACACACTAAAATTTCTTCCGTTGGACACAGTGACGTCAAATTAAACTGTATCTGAACTACTTAGCATCGTTTTGAATCGAAGCTGGATACGTTTTACCAAAATTGCAGTGATGGCAGTAGAAGGTAGAAATGCCGGAAGGTGCATGAATGTCACTCAACATACTTTACAAAAATTGCTAGGCTGTTTCACGAATCCATTTTTGATCATAAGCAGTCAGTGGATAACCAGCTACTTAGACTAAGAACAACGTTTCTATCATTAGTGTGGCATCTACCAAATTTTAGTGGTGAGGGTAAAATTTGTCACGAAACGAATCCTTCAAAATTTAAATATGTGCTGGAGAAATCGAATGTTAGTAAGGTAAACAGCTCATGTGTCTGATTTATTTTGCTCTGCTGATATTTGATTGTCTATTGCACTTAGCGTAATTACGAAAGAAATCATAAGCAACAGGGCATTTTAGAATGACGCTGAGATATTATCCAATTTCATAATAATAATACATAAATTAATGTAACTTACCATTTTTAGTTCAGGTATCAAGTGATAACAGATGGTTAAAACAGCAGCTGAAACCCCAAGGACGGCTGATATCGACATAAATAAGATGAACCCCTTTGCACTCAATGGTGGTAATTTCATAGCCACCAAGACCACCCCAGCTGTAACCATCATTGTCATGGCTAAAACTATCAAAGCACATTTCCAATCAACTGGTGAGAACACAGCAGCAAAGATCACAGACCATAATATAACCTATATCAAGAAAGCAATAATTGTGATAATTAAGTAATTTTTATCTGAAAATTGAAGGCGTACTGAGAAAATTAGGCACATATCAAATGCAACATTCCCCTCATCGCTTTTCGTATGTGCGCGATGTTGCTGTCACCATCACGAAATTAAGAAAATAACTATTTGTTTCACGAACAAGCAGTCTACATGTTGGACGGTGCAAGTGAGACAGTCCTCAGTTGTGCACAGTATTATTTCGAATTATATAGTTAGACTGAAGTAATAAATTCAGTAACCTGTGGAGTTTTGTAATATTGTAGATAACAATTACCACTGTAATTTGGGAATGGATGCTTCAGTTACCCTGTCTGTGCTCTGAGATCAAAATATCACTGTGAAATATTAAATAACCTGATGAATTTATGATGAAGTGAAATGAAACCGAGTGAAATTTAAATCTGAATTCAGTAATACCACTAGAGACTGTCCAGGAATTATTCACATTGCTTTTATTAAATTACTTCAGTGAATTGAATATCGTTAAAAACTGATCCCAGTTTCGCATAGGGTTTTCAATACTCATGTCATTCGTACATTTCGACTAGTGTTTATTATGCTTGTATCACTTCTATTTGTTCACGAATTAACAAGTATCTACGAAGATGATTTCCTTCTTTCCCACATATTTTCTGATAATTTTGTATATTGTTATGGCTCCCAATGAATGATGGAAGTAGCATGCGTCAGAAATAATAGGAGAAATCTCATTGACGAGACAACCACTGCCATAGACATTTTTGAAATTCACAGCAGTCATTTTATTTACCACAAATAATAATGCCAATTCTCATGGTAACGTAATACTGACACTTACCATAATCCAAAGTAGTATTGGAACAGCGTAAACGTTCAATCGAATTTTTCCCACTAATGCAATTAGAAGTAATGGAATAATGGCGACAGACCTAAAATGAATTCGGAAACACTCAAAACTCATTCTCATCAGCAAATAATTGAAATGACTCATCACATAATAACCCCTGTATAAAATATAGTAATGCCATCTGATACTTGGTAAATGGAACGTTCTACACGCAATCCATGCCTTACAAGATAAATCATTCTATTTACTCCTAGATGTCATGGTCAATTTTGATCACTGTCATGAAGGCTAGGAAACTCATCGCTTAGAAAACAACACGAATGTTACTGAATTTTCAGGACCTCAACCATGTAGTCTAATATTTCAGTCGGAATACAAGGAACGAAGGAAACAGTTAATCTACAGCAGTAAACAATACAAGAGTCAAAAAGAGAAGTTACTTAATATCTGTTCAGATATTTTGACATAACTAATCAATAAATCGTTATTTTTTATTTATTGTGTTTTATTATAGCTTGATTCCACACAGTATTTTGGTGCAAGTATGGAATTCTCAGCATGCGATGTCATCAGCCCAAATTAATCTGCCCAACTATTGATATCAGGTGTGAGTTGGCAGGGGATCGAAGCCCGGTCCATGTGCAGCATCGAAGAGCGTCCTAACCAACTTGTCAACAACGCATTTGGTGGCATCGCCATTGTTGTATTGTTTATTCCTGACAGTAATATTTCTAAATTGGCATGAACGCCAGGTTATTTGGTTCAGGTTCCTTCAAGCAAAGTAATCGAATAATATACTCCAGGAAATGCAATGAAATGAAGGCTTTGTGAACTGATTTCCTCGCGCTTGCTTATCCTAATGACGGAAGTTATCGGCATGTAATAGATTAAACAGATAGAGAATGGCAATGTAAAATAAATGAATTGCACTAGCTATCTATTAGAGGAATAATTAATTCAATGAATAAATAATAATATTCAATGGATAACTAACATCATAATATACACCAGATAGACGCGTTCCATTAAAAACGTCGGAATATTTGACCTGCAAAGCAAGATGAAATTTTATTATCTCCTTTAATCCAATCTTACGCAGCAGTAAACAAAGCGACCAAACCGACAGTGACCGACACCATCAGCGTCATATTGATTAGGAACTAAGAATAAATTAGCTTATTCCCCGTATCCTGCTAATCTTACCGAAACATACTTGGCAGAAGTGGGATTTTGTGCTTTCTGACTCTTAATCTTCGGATTCACATAAGGTGCAATGTAACCTATCATCACGGTTTGCAATGAAATCTTTGAATAAAATTTAAAAAGACAACAGAATGAAAACGTTTTAGCAATGTGCGAGTATAGGTAAGGCTCGTAAGGTTAAATTTTGAAATATTCAAACACTATTATTCCTAAGTGAACCTGATCATATTTCTGAAGTAATGTTTCTCAGAACTGTGAACTGATGGTTTGAATTAATTCGTTATTTACACTTGTTTGTGAATTTTGACAGAGAAAAATTAATCATAATGTGGAGAAATATACTTAAATAAACTGTGAAAATTGAATAAAACGTCGAAGATATTTTGGATACACGATAGTATTCATGGCAAACTAACACAACTAAATGCATTTTCTAAAAGAATGAGTTAACTTCCATTTGGTGGAATATGATGTGTGAATCGGTAAGGCTTTAAACGGTGACGCGTTGCTACAAGATTGGGGATTGGAAATAAGAACAACTGTCTCGTCGATAATTAGCTACTAAAGAGTGACTTTAGATGAAATCCAGCCATAACTGCTATTTGCTTCATTCATACTACTAACTAAAATTTACTGAAACAATTTCTGTTTTCTTCCAAACAAAAGTGTAGAATATTTAACGGGAGATAATGAACTCGATAAAACTGTGAGTAGAATTTATGATGCTGTATCACCAAACGACTGCTTCAACAGTCTGGGAGAGACCAGTCGACATCTATCGACAATTGAAACTGAATATATTAATTTGGAGCGTGTTTGAAGAAATAAACGTATTGGTAGGACGGAAAGGTGATTTTCTGCTCGTATGATGGAGAATTTGCAAAAGTGGCTGAAAACAGTTGAAGTCATCTTACCAAAAAAATCAATAACAAGGGATCGTGTATACTGTAGACATGAAAGTGATTCTCTCAATACATTCAATATTGTCAACCTACAAACACCGGACAAGAAGATGGTGGCAATTGTTGACGCTTGCGCAATCAGAATTCATAAACCAGGTCTCAGTGTAGAGAAGGCGATGGTAGTTACACCTAATCAACCATGTTGAAGTGTTTTACTTATTAACCAAAATTATTATTATTCAACATCTTCTTATTATCATTGTTGATTCATTTAGAAATATCTTTATCAGTATCATTATCTGGACCTCTGTTAACATTATTATTGTCATTACCTATAACATCATTATCGGTATTACTCAGTTTCCAATTCCTAATATACTCAAGGTCTTTTTCTGATGACTTATTGTTCATTCGTATGATGTAGCTGAGTTGTTAGTGATTATCAGCCTGATTTCAGTCTTGGAAACTCACTTCCACTTGTCTATTTGAACATGGCCTGGAGGACAATCAAACCTTGGTTTCTGCACGATTGGTTCAATGAAGTTTAATCACATATCAGTCTTAGATCTCCCATTGTAATTCTGATGGTGTAAATGTCTCTGTGTGTAGAACATATACCTGAAGATTCTTACTGACAACTGATGGAGTCAATAGATCCCGGTTTATCAACCTTTGTCGCTTGTCTTAAATAGAATAAAACCTGTTAGCTGTGATCAACAATAAACTATAATCGATAACACCTATTCATTTATATTTTAAAAAACTCAAGAACAAATTAATTCAAACAAAACTTGCCGAGAGAACATGACAAGAGTTCACTCACCTGAAATAACTCCTGTCTTCTAATGTATGCGTCTGCGAAAAAGTTGTTTCGTACATATATATATATACATATATATGTAATTTGACTTTGCTCATGTTTAATGAAATCAAAGCATGCAAAGTGATCGAATTTTATTTTGAATCTCAACGTTATTCATGAATTTTTAATACACATTAAATTGTCGTTATGGATCACAACATCATAGCCAGCTAGCTTAATTATTGACGAATTTTTATCAAACGAGTATAGGCTATCGATAGCTCAAAGGTTTACAAAGTACAAAGATAACTTCAAATCGAAAAACGTATTTATATGTCTCGTATATTTGTATTTCCTAATTAAACAAAAAATTGGGGTGAAAAATAAAATTGTAGATTTCTTTTAAGAAATCCGTTATGACCATTCGCAATCAACTTTCCGACTGATTAAACCGAACGTCTGAGTTACGCGTGAAGTCGAGATCACAGGATGCTATTTAACATGAATTTAATAAATAGAATATAGGAAGCTCACAATGTGAAGTGTCTGTATTGTGCATCCTCAAATGCACTTTCAGTATTAGTCAATATAGAAAAAGGGCGATGTTGTGTATGATAGTTCGAGTTGTAGAATAAACAAGGCGCAACTATTCAGGGCAAGAATAAATGGACTGGAATACAAAATATGCAACAGAGAATGCAAAATTATGAAGTTACATTTAGCAAATACATAATGTGAGATGAATTTTATTGAAAAACAGTAGTTACACGAGGGAAGTAACGTCAATGTAAAGAAGCATATCTCGTCATTATTGTTGTTAATAAGACGTATAATGGTACTCTAAGTGAAAAGTTGATAAGGAATCGGTAAGAAAGAAGTCGATAACAACAACCATGCAACAGAAAAAGAAATCATGTTTCTCAAGAAATAGCCACCATGTGCAAATATCTGGGTAAATCTAGTAGAAAGGATTCTTTCTCACTGTTTGATTCTCTACAGTCAACATTCGTCTTTATTTTCAATCACAGAGTATTTAATTGAATCGATCTGTCCACGACATAACTATGTCTAAGCTATTTTTGACGGATTAAACATCAAGTAAACTGACATACTCCATGTCTCAATGACGAGTTAATTTCTCTGTTTATGTAGATCGAATGGGAACAAAATTTCAATTGGGGTAATTTGTAATCTGGTGAATTTCATGATTGAGCTTAATAATTCCTAAGGAAAACGATCAGTCAAAATTCATACGTGTTGCGGGAAACTCGGATGCCAATAAAGTAAGCAGCTCACATATCTGATGCGGTTTGCTCAGCTGATATTTCACTATCTATTGCGTTTATCATTATACGATGAAAATCATAGGTAGCAGAACATTACAGAATGGTGTGGGGATTTTATCCTATTTCATAAACATAGTGTGCAAATCTGCAAAACTTAAATTGGTGTAATTCACAGTAATTTTTCCATCGGGCAATTAATTTCAAATCCCTGCAACGATAGCTGAAACCACAAGGAGGTTTGATAAAGTGCAAAAGACGATGAACCACATTTCACTTAATGTCAGTAGTTTCAAAGCAATCACGACAACTATAACAGTAGCCGGAACTGTGACAACCGACGATATCAAAGCGCATTTCCACTCATTAGATTGGATCGCAGTGGCTAAGATCACAGACCACAAAATGACCTGCATCAAGAAAACAATAATAATAATGACTTTCTGTTTAATGAAGATATAGAAAGCAAACTAAACAAATTTCAAACGCAATACTTCCAACTTTCATTGTGGCAGGTGGTCAGTGTTACCATTGTCCTTCAGAAAAATGCAGAAAATAACAACGCTTCTCACATACAACCAGTCTGCGTGTTTCACGACATAAGGGAGATATTCCACAATTGTCCAACAGTATTATTTTGAATATGAAGCAAAGTGAAGCGTGCGATTCTGTACCTTGTGGAATTGTGGAATAACATCGGTTACCCTTGTATGCTGGAAAAAGACGCTAAAATGGACCTATCAGTGAGTCAAGAATGAAATAACGGTGAAAATACTGAAATACCTCATGAATTTATGATGAATTCATTCGAAGGCGTATAGTTAAAATCTGAATTGATCAGGTGGGTTTATCTGTAGTTTCTGTAAACCCCATATATGAAAGTGATATTGTGGTGAGAGATGGTTGCTGGCCAAATTGGTTGACAGTAATTGAGGTCAATGCTAGTCATGTGAAAACAAGGTCAAGATGGACAGGCGGATACAGTTAACATATTGATGAACTGACACAGCCACAAGAGATGCAAGGTTAACTTTGTGTGAGAAACAACCAATCAACAGACTGTATTTTCTGCTAACATTAACCTACAATAATGTACATAAAAATCTTTAAATATGGGTTGATTTTCCGTAATAAACGTTCTGTTGCCTGGCCCTTGTCTTCTGTTGTTACAATATCAATGCAGGATGTCCAGAAAATAGTCAGTTTTATTTGACGCTTTATAGTGAATCACATTTTTCTACTATGCATGTCTCTGTATAAAAATGGTTAAGTATATCAAATGCCGTTGAACATTGATTCAACTTGTGAATGTTGAAGTCATACGTACGTCAAAACCAGCGTTTATTATGCTCAAATCAGCCTTGTTACATTACGACTTCACAAGTATCTATTGAGATTGTTTCCTATCCTCATCATATCTTTTCGCATATCTTTCATTATAAAAAGAAGCAAAATTATTGCTATGATGCTCAGGTAGATGAAAATGGCATTTAATATCGATTGAAGGAGCAATCTGATTTACAAGATAACCAGTACCATAGATATCTTTACTTAATACAATAGTCATTTTATTTTCCACACAATGTTCATACCACTTCTGATGGATTCAAAAAACTAACGTTCTACTGATACTTATTATAGTCCGAAGTAGTATACAAACAAAGAAAACATTTGACCGAATTTCCTTCACGAGTGAAAGTAGAATTAATAGAATACCAACGACTGACACCGTGGATTCATCTCAGCGAACAGATAATTCAAATGTTTCAGATGTATATCACTTGGTTTCACTGTATTGTTCAGTACCTGCTAAAATCTACAGTATACAATGTGAAGAGGTGAAAAATGTAATTGAAGTAAATTTGTTCAGTCCCTGATTAAGTTGTTAGTGCTAAAAATAGAGAAACATAACGGAATAATTATATCGTAATTTGAAACGATTTAGTAAAACTGGAAAATATGTGTTTAGTTCGCGTTTGAGCAACAAAAGTCGATGTTCGTTAGGGATTCGGTCTTTTTCTAAAATGTTCGGTTAGCAGAACTACCTTGTAAATAGGAAGATGACAGATGCAATGCTCAGGCGTGACAAAAATTGTTTACATTTTTGACACTCTGATGAACAATTTGCCGTACTTCATTGAATTTTGAGCTCAGATATTGGTGTTGGGCTTCCTCATCCGAATTATTGATGAGGTTGTCTTCATGGATACTGATAAACCACTTTAAAATCGTCGAATATGTCGTGGACTAAGTGCGGAAAAACTCGCATTTCATTCACACGATCAATTGGCTTGCCTAGGGATTGAGAAAATACAAAAGTTGTAATAGTCGCCCTTTTCGTAATGTCATTTGAGGCCACAGAGATTCCCTTTCACATTTAAGTTTATATTTAAATCATGGCCGTCAGTATTAGGTGATGAGTGCCGATTCAAGTATCATGAATTCATGTTTACTGAAGTGGGAATTATCAAATTCTCCATGTATACCATTCGAATTGTAGAAGCTTTTTTCATTTATTGATGGTAGAATACGAAGACTAAGCATATGATGGAAGTCTTTCTCACTCATTCTAGCGTCATTTAAAGATTATTTTCAAGCTTTGGAGGTTAAAGATCGTTCCATGGTTGATATTTGATGCAATTTTTTACAGAACACTTCACAAGTATTGTCAAAAATACCCTGCATTGGCATCAACTTCAATGAAACTCCCTTCAAAGGTTAATTCTGATGAAAAAATGTATCAACAGACCCAGGGAGCCTTTAGAAGATATATGTATTTGCGAGTCAGGAGTTTCATGGAAGTGAGTGAAATACTAATAAGCTGTTTATCTAGAAATGGCATGATCAAGAACTCTGAGACTGTCTGTATTTACCAGCTTCACTGGTGTCTTATACAGAAAGCACGCTAAAAACAGTATCATTCGAGAGATCGTTAGAGGAATGCCTTATGTCCTAAAACTTTGTCACAGATTGTAAACTGTAGTTCTAACTGCAATTTTGTGTAAGAAGGTGAGATATACAACTCCCAATAGCATTTGATAAGCATCACTACAATTGTTTCATTGATTTCACGAACATTATCAGATATGTTAAACAGCTAATATGATCTCTACCACACATTATGATCTCACGTTCAGGCAAATACATTAACCCGAAATGAATCAGTAGCTTTGATATTTCGCCATTGCTTTTGTAGAAATCCTCTCCGTGGAATGGATAGACTGTCCAGGTTTAGAGATCGTCTTCAAGTCCTATGATGGCAAATATTTATCTTAAGCTCTTCATTTATTATGTGTGTTAAATTGGTGATCATGCACGAAAAAGATCACCTATTGTATTGGCCGACCCCCATTGTGAAAACCACACCTATCTGTCCTGTTGTATGAAGACTATACAACCGATTAATGCAGTGAACGGTCTTTGCATCATGAAGTTATCAACAACTTATGGCATGGACAGTGTTCACTAGTGCACTGATATGCACACCTTTACTTGATTTTCAAACAAAACACATCATGATCCTAGCAGAGAGACATCAGTGCTAACATATTCGCTAGTCTAGCACAACAGATACATCAAGAGTAACGAAACAATGATATTAGTTCATTTTCGATTGGATATTCAAACAGGCAGACTGGCAAAGGTGACTTTGAATATTATGTGCTTACATTTTAAGTATTTGTGAATTATGAAACACATAACTATTTGTGAATATACATGCTGTTTGAAAAAAATGACATTTGATCGACAACGCGTACGATGTCAGACTAAAGTGTTAAATATATACTTCAAGCATTTCGGA